AATTATGAATACTGGCCTAAGATAGAAAAATCTCCAAGTACAATATATCAAAAGTGACATGACTCATGTTTACAAGCGTTAATACAGATATTACGACTACTAATACTAATACTATTCAAGAGCTGGCAGAATTAGACCCTTTTTGTTCTGTTTTCGTTCAGTAAGTGAAATTTAAAGATATCTTACGTACGCAATAATTACAGGAGAAGCGTTACATTTTAGAATCCCAAGTAGTTTTACTCTTCAGCCACTAGACAAAAGTTAACATAACTATTCACAGTAACTGCTTGAAAACTACACGAAATTTCTACCAGGGAGTATATCGCAATCTCATGCAGGAAGTTCGGCTCCAATTAATTGAGCAACTAATTATACAAAACCGGAGATTGACTTGTGACGAAATATGCAACTGTGTCGCGCGGGTAACGGATTGCATTTCTCTTCGGTACGAGATACATTCGGCAATTGCAGTGTCTATACGCCGCCATAACGCGCGCATGCGGGCGCCCTTATGCGATTACGTTTCTGCTTATTACGCATGAGACAGCATATATAGACGGTACCGTGTTACACTCTTCAGAAGTTGCTTCGAAGAGTTATTCCACGTTCCATGTGAAAATAAGTTGACCGTCGTTTTCTCGATCGACGCAACAACGCCTCACCCGATGATGAAGAGGAAAGCCATGTATATGGGGATGTTACTCGCCACGGTAAGACATTACCGTATATATTTATAGTTTTCGTAAATTAAATGTATTTGTAGTTATTTAATGTATTTGTTTAATTAGTTTTACTTGTATATATATTTTACTCAATATATATAACGAATGGAAAAATTATCTAACACCATAAGTTTATCAAACAATTTTCTAGATATTTTAATAAAATTATGAAAATAAATAATAATAGTATGATTAATAATAAAAATAAAAGTAGAAATACAAAATTAAGAACAGAATAAATATAAAATTCTTCGCTTATTAAATATTTATTGCGTACGAAAATTAATTTTTATTCGAAAATATAGTCTAGTCTTTAACTTACGTGTTGATTGCGCGAAAAAAAAAGAAAGGACAGTCTCCGAAACATTTTATACGCAAACAATTTCAAGTGTTCTCTCATTCGAATATCTTCTTAGAGAAGATCTTAGAGAATATCTTCTTAGAGAATATCTTCTTTTGAGAATGGCACACAATATTGGGCACATGCGTTTCATCGCTTCTAATGTCATTAATCAAAATTGCAAATGGAAATATGCGAAGATTGCGATAATTCGGGCGAAACCACTAAACTCCTCGCTCAACGAATCGGCTAACGAAATCGATGACGATGAAGCGAGCCTGCAGAGGAATCCGCTTGAGTCCAAGAAACAGGATCCTGCTTTGCCGACCAATGGCGACCAGATAGCTACCGCGCCGCAAGCCGACACGACGTACTCGGCAGTTGGTACCGTGATCGACGCGACAGTTCGACCCGTAAGCGCGACTCAACACATTGATTAAAATTTATAATTAAAGTCGGAACGTGTGTAGATTGAAACCCTTTCGATGACAACGACGTCCTACGAATTGTTTGATCCCTCTAATTAATCATGATTCTGACGCGACGTATTATTGACTGTCAATCTGCTTTGATAATTCGGTAACGTCGTTTCACAAAATCCCATTACGTCACGAATTGTCCGTCGATGGACGCGATGGCCGGTCGAACTAATTAATCAGAATCAATTCGCTATTTTATTAACGCTTCCAGTAGTCGAGACTGAGCGATTGCGCGGCACTGATATCTCTAATTAAGACACAATAGACCAGAAATAACAATCGATAAAATCGTATATAATACGTTCTTTTTTGCATACGTTCGTTCGCACGGCGTACAATTAAATCTCTCAGCTGAATTCTCACAAAGTCGCATTAACGTTCTGCGAAATTAAAAATTAATTCCGCGAAAAATTCCCAGTTAGGCAAACAAAAAGAAACAATAGAGAACCAATGCAAGGCGAGCACCCGCCACAAGTAGTATAATGCAATAAAATAAAATAATTTATTCATTCAGTCAGAAAAATTATATAATTATGTCCAAATTCTCGATTAATATTCTCAGTCTCTTTCTCGCTTTGCGAAACATCGTATACGGAAAAAACAATTCCATTAATACGTAACTGAATTTTTCGTTGTCTGGTAAAAATAGAAATAAAGTGAAAAACTCGGTTGTAGAAATAGAAAAACTCCTGTACAGAAAAAAATACATGAAGATTTATTCGTAGAATATAAAATTTATCTCTGTGGAATAAAGTTTACACTCCTGTGAAATAAATTTTATATCCACAAATAAATTTTCAAGTATTTTTTCGCGGTGTGTGAGAGTGCAGACGAAAATAAATCGCTGCTTTTGCTCGGCTAGAACGACGAGGTCCCGACGACGAAGCCGGGCCCGCTCGCGTGGTTTCTGACGCCGCTGACGCAGAAGATTCAGTTCTCGCCGCAGTCGTTCCTGCAGGATCGCCTGGTCCTGTTGAAAGAGGCACTGAGCAATCTAGGCATCAGCGTGCAGCAGAACGCGACGGCGAAGCAATTGAACGGCGGCCTGGTGCACTTTGTGAGCCCGAGCGATTCCGGTTTCTACACGAACCGGCTGGAGCCGGCCGGTTTCCTGGGCGGTAACGGCTGGTTCGCCAACAAGGGCGGCATTCTCGGCGGACCAGGAGCCATCGTCTCCACCGGCAGCCTCCTCACAGATTACCCGACTGCTTACAGGAAATAGGACGGGTCGTCGGATCCGTTTATTATTCGTATATGTAAATAATCAAGCAGCAGCGGAGTGTTCGCGCGCGAGATTCAACGCGCTGCGAATGACACGGTTTGAATCGGCGTTCGACTACGGATTTGTCGAGTGAGTCGCGCACGAACGTATCACAGATTTTCCATCTCCCTTTCTCTCTCCTTTTAACAAAAAATATACGTTAGGATAATAATAATTGTAATGATAATAATTTCTTCAAGCGTAATACGTACATAACAAATACAGAAAATACAGGAAATGCGGAAGAAACAAAAAAGGAAAAAGATCCAAGTAAAAGGCAAAACAATATTGAGGCTGTTATTGCTGCCTTAGCTACAAAGAAAAGAAAAAAGGATATAACGTCAGAGTCAATAATATTTCCACTATAAATAATCGTCAACATCTTAAATGTCGTGACGGTCACTGGTGAGCGGCATTATGCATTACTATACTGTACGCGCGCGCGCGCACGTATGTATGTGTCTCAATTAAGTCACGCGTGAAATAAAATTAATTCTGTTCAGAAAGAGATTGGCGATACGGCCAATGGAGAGTCAACGAGGTAAAAAGCAAACGCGTCTCGAATAACATTTATATTCACTGTCTCTTTGGTAATTCAATTATCGGCTACGCTTTTGTGCAACCCGAGGAAATCGACGCGGCACTCGGCGTGTTAACGGCGAAGTGCTCCTGGTAAATCGAGCTTGTGAGAAATGTAGGCGGGGAATGTAGCGTTAGGTAAATTATTACGAGCGCCGCGTGCACGCAAATACACTTCTTTTTCTATACACATCAGTAATTTACTCTATTTATCATGTGTACTCCGTTTACGCAATAAAGCGAGCTCGTCGAGCTCGTCGAGCCCGAGCAAACGCGCACACACACATACACGTAGTAGCCGCGACTAACTCCTCCTCTTCCTCCTGTCTGTCCTCCCTCATTGCGTTGCGCAGCGTCCGTCGCGACGTAAATGCATTTTTCATGCAACTTCCTCGACGATGCAACATCGTCGCGCTCGCTTCGGGGACTTTTAACGAGCCATGGAACACTCTCCCTCTCACTCTCTCTTTCCCTCGTATTATCGGTGACGCGCGCGCCGATGAAAAAGAGATGGGCGGAGAGGGAGGGAGGTAGGCGATAAAATGAATTATTGACCGCGAATGTCGCGAAAAATGCGCGACGGGCGCGACGCGTTATTGGAAATGCATAAGATATCCGGTATCTCGCGAATTCAAAGGGCGATTCTCCGGATCGTTCGCTCTGCGAGGGTTGGGCGCAGCGCGAAAGCGGGCTCGGCCGCGAGGAATTTCATTTCTACCGAATTGAGATTCGATGCCGAGGCCGAGCCGTAGCCGTCGACGACGTGGCATCGGCGATCGGTGTACTTACTCTCAATCCCTCTTGCTCTCCCCCTTCATTCCCCTCAGCCCGACCCATTCGTGTCTCGACGCAGTTGTGGTCACCTGTAATCCGAGCGGGCTGAAATATCGTCCGTTACGCGAGCGATCGCGTGCCGATATCTCTCCCGAGGCGAGGTTTATTAAAAACGATGACTGACTCGCGCGCTAACTTGTTATCCTCGCGAAAACGATGCGCGCCGCGTTACGTACCGTGATGTCTGGTAATTGGTAACGCGATGAGCGATCAAGAGCAGATCCTGACCCTCTGCTGTAAGTCGAACCACTTCGCGAGGGCGACCATTTCGCTTCTGCGACATTCGACTTTGACCTTTTCGTCATTTCAAACGATATTTTCGATGGTCACTTCTCGCTTTAAAATTGAAAAGACAAAGTTAAAAAAACGAGAATTTTTGGCATACGTTTTCTCGCTCTTTATTAATCAAGAGTTCCGCGACGAGCGCACAGGAGCCTTAATCAACATCTTAATCGTCTTAATAATCGATGTTGAAGCTCAATAATTACATTTAAAAATTATTTAGTATTCAATCTCATATATCAACAGTTTAACTTAAATTAAAATTTATCTTAATTTATATTAATTTTACTGAGGTTATGCAACTTATTGAACTTTATATAGTATGCACGATACGCAAATACTAAATAATTTAATGAAGAATAATCGGTGTGAGCGGATAAATAAAACAACAAAAACTTTCCCCTTTCATTACCTCTTTATTTATTTTTCATTCATTTCTATCTACCTATCTATCTATATTTCTACGTGTCTATTTATTTATCTATCTATCTATCGCTGTCTCCCGTTGGTATTAGAAATTTCAATAGAATTAGTAGATGTGTCCACATAGACACAAATTGTACCAAGTATACCTTCTTACCGCAGATGCATCCCCAATGGAGCTTTAAGTTGTGGACAGGCGATCAATGAACCTACAAAAAAAATCTAAATCAGTTAAAAACATAACGTTAACTAATGATCATTAAAGTTTTTATCTGATAATGGTTCATCGAACATAAAAGGCATTTTCAACATGTGCCACACATATAATTTAATTATTTGACATGATTTCTCGGCCAACGAATATACTTCTTATTGCTTGACGAGTGATAACAGTTCGCCATTGGCGATTGCAAAACGGTTTAGACGTAACCCAGTAAACACAAAGTATCATCCATATTATAATGTCAGCTTAATCATATGGTATATTATGTAACTGTTACTTTGTTATACAAGAACTATTGTAAAACAAACCGGAACTCTAAAGAAATAGTTAATTTA